ACAGCAGCTAGATGTCCTAACATCTCAACTCAATTCTGACACTATCTACCTGGAGATACTGATACCATTGTAATTATCTAGTTGTTAATAATAGCAAAGGAGCAGAAGGGGAAGCCAGACATTATGGGCATGTTGTTTGGGCAGCTTCACCAGGAAGCTGCAACTTCGCACTCCCCAGGGAGCCACCGGCCTATCCCCTGCAGAACACTGGGGGAAGGGATCCAACAAAGGGGAGATAGATGCATGCCCAGTAAAGTTGGGGTGACATAGGGAAGGTAAGTCACATCTGAACAGATCATTGTTCAGAGTGGATGTGGCCCCTGCAAGCACGTGAAAATGTGGGGATACATAATCCCCTAAACAGAGTTCTCTCTCTCCTTGCTCTTGTGTTCTTAGCTCACTCTTGGCTTCCTTGCATTCGCCCATGCGCCCTCCATAGCCATGGGGACGCGTGGACCCCCACGCAACGAGCTGACGGGTAGTACTGGGGAAACACAAATTCAGCCTGCCTGATGCGGCATGGGACTGTGCCGATGTGGAAAGTAAACTCTGGGCACTGGTTTTGATTTTAGTCCTGCTAAAGGCAAATGGGACTCGTCCTTGGCGGGACTGAGGGAAACGAAATGTTGGGAACTCAGGGATGTAATTCCACAAAAAACAAAGCTTTGTACAACATCGCATCCTCATCCTCCCGTGTGAGTCTCAGAAAAGTCTTTTTCTTGGGATATTGCAAGAAACCCACCCTCACAAGCAACGGGGGAGACGAGGACCCCTCGCCTTCCTTAACAATAGCATCAGATTGCACAGGTGAGGGATCAGTCCCACAAGATTGCCCCTTCCCTCCCACACACATTCAGATGCTGGCCGGTAGTTCAGGTTTTACCTATAACATTGACCGTCTGGCTGACAATCAGAGGTGCCCACAATCCCCTCCTTGGGTTCCATTAATTTGGTACAGCAGCTCACAGAACTCAGAGAAGTATTTTACTTCCTAAGTTTACTGGTTTATTATGAAAGGATATAACTCAGGAACATCCAGATGGAAGAGGTGTGTAGGGCAAGACATGGGGATAGGGTGGGAGCTTCCACGCTCACTTCTAGCACACCACTCTCCCCCAGTCGCCATGTGTCCAACCTGTTCTTTTGGCTTTTATAGGGCTAGCTGCCGGCATCATAGCATGTTGAGGTAGGTTTTGGGGTGAGCACATGCAGTATACGAACACCACTATACATACATTGCAGGCACAGAAAGTGTAGAATAAATTCCACCTTGGGTTGGAGGTTTCAGTATTAAAATGAGGATATAATGAGAAGCGTTCCCACTGACGTCACTCCTGAGGGTCCTTAAGCAGCTTCAATAGCTCTGAGGTGGTTTCAGGCCGTTTCCCTAGTCTCTATGTTGTGCCCCTCTAAAAACATTCAAGCAAACACTGTTAGAGTCCCAGAAAGCCATCAAGCATTGTAAATATTTAAGTAATGGTATAGCCTCTCTCCGAGTTTTTGACCCTCCTGTACAACCCAGGTAGGCTGCAAACAGGGGGGAAGTGAGGACTTTTATTTCTCTTCTTTGCCAGGATTGGGATACACAAGAAAGTGTCTTGTTGTGTATCCCAACAGCCAGTTTTCTGCCCTGACCTGGTGTGTTTGTGGTCCCAGTGCTCTGGGGCAGATGTCTCTCAGTGATTGTCTGGCAAAGGCTCTTTTCACTACATTCAGAGCAACCTGTAAATAATTCAAGTGCAAGGGTGGGTGGAACTTCAAAGGTTAAAAGAAAATCCAGTCCAAACTGCCTATAACCTTGGCTAGTCATTTGGCCTCTTCTTGCATACTTTCAGTGATGGTGAGCTCACCATTGGGCTGCCCACGGAAGGCCCAGTGCCTCTATGGCCAGTAGATGGTGCTGTTGGGCAGCTTCACCCAACAGTACCATCTACTGGAGGGCATGGTGGTTTTGAGACTGGGGAGTTGGGGAGGTGGACAGCTTGAGGTTAGATGGCCCTGCCAGCCCGCCTGCCTCTTCCAGCCATCTCCAGATGCGAAGCAGGCGTCTGTGGGAGAGAAGGAAGAGCAGGAGTGGGTGAGTCTAGATCTGTTGTCTATTGGCCTAGGGCCCTGTGGTCGGCAAACTGCGGCTCTTTGGCCCCTTGAGTGTGGCTCTTCCTAAGCCTTAGGAGTACCCTAATTAATAACCATGTACCTACCTATACAGTTTAAGTTTGAAAAATTTGGCTCTCAAAAGAAATTTCGATCGTTGTACTGTTGATATTTGGCTCTGTTGACTAATGAGTTTGCCGACCACTGGCTAGGTGTTCTGAGGCTAGTGATGGCAGTGGGATAGAGTGGGAGGACATGGGGATGTCCCCACTATACTCTGGGCCAGGACCTGCCAGTTCATGCTTATTCAGGGCTAGCCTGGGCACTTGCCTACTGATCTACTGGCCCCAATCCGCATGGCACCTCCAAAGATAGCTCCTGTCACCAGTGCAGATCTTAGTGACATCTTCCTCAATTTCCCCCAGTGTGTGTGTGTGTGTGTGTTTGTGTTTAATAATTGTCAACTATAACTTCTAACTTCTAGCATTCTTTTTGGCAATGCCCTTCTCCCTCTTTCTGAAAGGCTTCAGCACAGACACACACAGATGGTAAGTCTGGCAGCTGTGTGCTTGGTCCTTGCTGTCCCCATGGCCCAGTCTGTGTCATTAGGGCCCTGGCTCCAGGCGTAGCAGTGCAGGCAGGGGCTGGGTCAGAGCCCTGTGAGCTCCAGGAAAGCGTGGCGGTTCCCAGGACAGAGCTCGAAGGCCTGCTGGCTCCTTGACGTCTGCCCCCCTATCTGTAATCTGCAGGTTTGTCTCCTTCCCCTCGGCGGAGGCCTCCCTTCCAATCGTGGGTTGATCTTTCTCTGATGTGGCTGAACTCCTCCTGCTCGCCAGCCCCATGCTTCCTCTCAGTATCTGAGTGTCTGATCTTGGACTCCAATCTGTGCACGTCTTCAGTGCTGAGAACAAAGCCATTTCTTGGGCTTGAGCCAAGATGGAGACGTGTCTGTGAGCCGCCCTCAGCCCCGGCAGAAACTGCGCTGCTAGGAAGGCTCTCTGGGGCTCCTTTGCAGGCTGAGGCCCTGGGGTGCAGCTGGCTTATTCCAAAGTGGGAAAATGGAAAACATTCCAAATGGGGAGGCAAGAGAACTGTGATTGTCGCCCCTGGAGATGCTCAAGGACTTGAGACGCACAAGAGCTGTAGGAAAGGTTTGGTGTGGCCTGTGGAAGGAAGCTCTCTCTTGCTCTGTGCATAGACCAGCGTGGGCAAACTACGGCCCAGGGCCGGATCCAGCCCGTTTGAAATGAATAAAACTAAAAAAAAAAAGACCGTACCCTTTTATGTAATGATGTTTACTTTGAATTTATATTAGTTCACACAAACACTCCATCCATGCTTTTGTTCCGGCCCTCCGGTCCAGTTTAAGAACCCATTGTGGCCCTCGAGCCAAAAAGTTTGCCCACCCCTGGTCTAGACCCTGCCTGCCTGGTTCACTGCTCTCTCTCAGCACCCGGTGCAGTGCCTGGTACTTGACAGATGACTAGTGACCACTTGTGAGGTGGTAAACGAATGACCGAGAAGAAGACAGTGTCTGGAAATCTTTCCTCTGTGCCACGGGCACTTCCTCATGCGAGTTAGAGCTCGTGCTGGAGTCCAGGGGGATGCCAGTTAGAATCCTGACATCACCACTTACCGGCTGTGTGAGGCCAGGCCTGGTCCTTAGCAAAGGGGCAGCATATCAACCGCCGGCGGCTGCCTTCAGGATTCCCTTGGAATTGCATGGAGCTCAGGGCCTGGCACTGGCCATCTGCAGCCTCCGCGAGTGCCTGAGGGCTCCGTGTCTCCACTTGAGATCTTCCCCCACATCATCCCCTGGTTCTGTCTCTCTCTCACCTTGGAAATATCCAAGATTGAGAGATTCAGGCACTCTCAGTGCTGGATGGCCCACAGGTTAGCCAAACAGCCCTCCACTGGGGCACACCCAGAGTGGGAAGAGGGACCCAGGAGAATGAATGGAAGTCCCGTCACCCTTCAGGAGGCTGGCCCTTGACATAAGCCTTTGGGGCCAGGGCACAGTGGAGGAAGTTAGCATTGGTCCTTTCCTGTGAATCTTGCCCCTCCTCTGTGCTTTCACACAATCCCAGGGCCCCCAGCCTGGTGGGCAACAGGGTGGAGGGTGGGGACCCAGGGTGCCTGGCTTTCCTGAAATCTGGTCAGATGGCCAGGAAGACAATTTTGGTCCCCAGTCTACGTTCATCTCAGAGGTACACTTAGTCCTTACTTCTGACAGGGATGCTATGTTTGGAGGTGTCACGGATTGACTGGGGACCTGTTCTCCTATACAACTCCCCACTCACCCCATTTTGGCCCTTTTCTCTTGAAAGTAAAGACCAGAGGGAAAGTAGGCTGTATTGGAAAGACTCCTAGACCTGAATTTGGGGGTGTGAGCAGGTCCCAGACCCGGCTGGATTTTCTCAAGTGTAAATTGTGTGCATGAGTGAGCCTATGAAGGTTGTAGGTGGGGGTGAGTGGTCCAGGTGCCCCTAAGGAGGCCTCTTTCAGCCTTGCTGTGAGGTCTGTTCTTTATTCCTACTCCAGATTCTCAAAAGAAGGAAGAGGAGGAGGAGGAGGAGGAGAACATATCACAAGGACAGCAGGAATGTGGAATTTGTGTGGTGGGGAGGAAATTGCAAAGAGCACACAGGTCAGATATCAGCATAGGGTGAGCTTTATTCTGTATTTTACCTTCACCGGGGAGAAGAAGGCAAAGCAGCTGGAGAGCAGACCAGCCTGCATCACACAGACACATAGCACGTCGGTAAAGAATGTACACGGTGGAAATCAAGGGCCCAAAGCAGACCAGCCGTGAAGCACGGATATTAACCAGGACTCCAAACGTCCCATCTCACGTTTCCTTATTGACTGTTTGAGTTCAACCATTAAATACATGTTCCATTTTTTTAAAAAAAACACAACCAACATTCCAACATCCAATTATTTGCTGTCCTTTTTTAGAATAACGCAGTGAATAAATTACCCAGTTTTTGATTTTGAAATACCACCAACCTCTTCTCCACACCCTGGATGGTGGTATTCAAGGACACAGTCCATCAAATTCAGTTTGTTTTGAGGCTCCAGTGAGAGGCTGATGCTCTAAAAGTGAATGCAGGCATCCTTGGCTGTTACACACTCAGGGCTGGGGGAACTTTTGCCCCAACAGAGCTGAAGTAGGCTTCTGTGGTCTCCCCTGACAGGCACACTATTCCTATATTTGAGCCCTTCTACTAAACTGCTGGGGGGAAAAAAAGATTTATTCACAGAGGTTGATGAAATACAGAGAGAACTGTCTTTAGAGACACAGACCAAGTCCTGGAATACTGAAAAAGCCAGGAGGCAAGAACAGGTGCACACAGAGGTACCCACAGGAGAAGGTCACCATAGCATAAGTTGGGATTGCGTCTTCATCTGTTGGCCATCTTCTTGACCCTCGGCGGCATTATAAAAGCAGCTACTTTCCCTTGCCAGGGGGTAAGCACTTCTCCTGGATTTTTTGTGGGCAAACCTCCACACATTTTGCCTGAGATATCTCTTGGCATGGCTCCACACACTGAGGTGGGCATTGGTCTTGGCATGGAGGTAGGCATGGATCTTGGCATTGCTGTGGGCAGTTTTCTAGGTTTAACTCCTGGCACTGAGGAAGACACACCTCCTGAGCTTGCACTGCACACTTCTCTTGGCAGGTGTCCTGGCATGGGGGGAGGCACACCTCCTCAGCCTTTGCCTGGCACTGCTCTTGGGTCTTTTGAAGACATGGAGGAGGCACACATGGCTGCTTGCACTGCTGCTCATTAAAGGACATCTTGGGGAAATCTGCAGAACCTGAAATAAACACAGAATTTAAAATTACCTGTATTAACAGTACCAGGCTGGGACTGAGAAATGAAGGGTTGACAGAAGGAAATGGGAAATGAATTATTGTTAACCCCAAAACTCATTTCCCTTTTATCCTTTTCTCTTTTCTATCCCGACTTGAGCTCCCTTTGATGCCCATCTCCTAGGCAGGACTATTCTCATAGCTCTTGTCTGGATATCAATAGCCCAGTCCTACCCAAACTCCCAGCCCTTTTTCTCCTCTTCTATTTGACGAATCTTATTGAAAACCAGTTTCAAGAGACTAGATAAAATATACAGGATGGTTTGAGAGGCCCAAGAAATGGTCAACCATTTCAAAAATCAGTAGAAAGTACACACCAGCAAGAGAAAAGCCTCCCAGAGACAGAGCAGCTAGAGAGAGAGAGCACAGATGCCCCCACTTACCTGATCTTCAACAAGACTCAACAAAGAATGTGAACTGCAGAGTCCGGCCAGATAGGGACTTTTATATAGTGCTTGGTCCAGCCTTCCACGGGCATGACTGGCCACGTGGGCTGAGGTCCTAATTGTGGAGTCACCATAACGAGCTTCCTCTGAAACTGCCCATAGTTTGAGTCACTGCTTGGGATGCCTGTTAATCAGCCTCCATTTTGGCCTCTGGGTCCTGAGCAGACCTCAGCAGGGAGGGGCTCCTCTCAGATCTTTCATTAGAAGCAGCAGCAAAAGAATGTTCATAAAACGTTATCTCAGTCAGCCCAAACTGGTTCAGGATGTGGTGAGAGATAAGATCCACCTTGCTCATCTTGTCTTCACCCATGGGAAGACTTTATGCCTAAGGCCTGGGGTCTGTCTGGGTCAAGGGCACGTATGGTCCCTTTCAGAATGAATGTGTCTTCACTGAGCCTGGAAAGTCACACTTTCAGACCCAAGGAAGGCAGATTGTCCCAGGGCCCCAAGCTAACAAAGGACCCACAGCCTCCTAGACCAGTGGTCGGCAAACTGCGGCTCCCGAGCCACCTGCGGCTCTTTGGCCCCTTGAGTGTGGCTCTTCCACAAAATACCACGTGTGGGCGCACACGTACAGTGCGATTGCAACTTCGTGGCCCATGCGCAGAAGTTGGTTTTCGGAAAGGAGATAGACGAAACAAGTATACAAGACGAGTGTGGATGGGAGAGTTGAAAGGGGTCGACCTCAGCGAATGTACCTCAATCAGATTGAGGACGTTTTTAGCAAAGAC